GAGGGCGTGCAGGGAGGACCCGGGCCGCTCGTCCTGTCACGAGATCGGCTCGCTGCGGCCGTGAAGGTGGGGGTGGAGAGAGGCCTCGGGCCGGCGGTGTGGCCGGACGTCTCCCTCCTGCTTCTCCAGGGCTTAGCCGGGCACAGCCGGCCTCGGTGCAGAAGGAGAAGTAGCCGCTGCCCCCGCCGCTCCGGGCCGGGACCCGGAAGGGGGCTGCTTGTCTCCTGTGGCTGCTGCGACCCCTTAGAGCGAGCTCGTGGGGATCGTTTGAGGTCTGAGAAGAGGCGCGTGTTATTTGGAGAGCCTTAGCCTCCCCGGTGTGCATCAGGCCTTTGCGCCCCCAATCCCATAGATTGCTGCCCCTACGATCTTGCTGTATGAAATCTGGGGAGCAGACACGTCCCTGTAATCGGACTTTTTAAGGTGTCCTTTGCTCTCTAAAGTTTGTAGAGGGTTTCTGGTGAGCTTTGCTGTTGGGCTGATGAAGCGAAGGCCCCTCTCTGGCTGATGGGCACGCGTTGCGTTTTTTTACAGAGATTATTCTTGTTCAAACGACCTTTGAAAAGGTGGTCTAGAAGCCTTCCCAAGATGTATGCTTAAAGTCACAGGATTTTTTGCTTCTAAACAGACTCCAGTTTAAAGTAGACTAGTTCATTTGTGGCAGTTTGGAGACACTTCCAGGGGAGAGGAATTAGCTGTCACGATCCATGTTTCTGAAGTCGTTTTGAGAAGTGAACACATGTTTAAGGGTCGCTCCCCTGCTATTCATCGCGTTTCTTTTAAAAAATTTGTTTTCTTTTTTTATTTTTTGTATATGTGTGTGTCTGCATGAGTTTATGTGCACCATTCAAGCATAGGTGCCATTGGAAGCCAGAGGGCTTGGGATCCCCAGAACTGGAGTTACAGGCAATTGTGAGATGCCATGTGGGTACTGGGAACCAAATCCCGGTCCTTGGCAAGATCAGCAAGTGCTTTTTTTTTTTTTTTTTTTTTTTTGGTTTTTTGAGACAGGGTTT